GGCCGGGCGCGGTGGCTCACGCCTGTGATCCCAGCACTCTGGGAGGCCGAGGCGGGAGGATCACTTGAGCTCAGGAGTTCGAGAGCAGCCTGAGCAAGAGCGAGACCCTGTCTCTACTAAAAATAGAAAAATTAGCTGGGCACAGTGGTGTGCGCCTGTAGTCCCAGCTACTCGGGAGGCTGAGGCAGGAGGATCGCTGAGCCCAGGAGTTTGAGGTTGCTGTGAGCTAGGCTGACGCCACGGCACTCTAGCCCAGGTGACAGAGTGAGACTCTGGTCTCAAAAAAAAAACCAAAAAAACAAAAACACAAATTTTGTTGATGACATCTTTTTCTGCAGAATGTAGCAATCCCAGGGAACATTACTGGTTAGCGGGCCCTTCCTGTCAAAGACACCTGTTCCTAAGGCTGCATTTCGTGGGCGTGACCCAAGGCATCAATGACCCTCACTTATCTGACAGTTTTCGCAATTACGACCCACTCTCTCTCGCAGCAGACGCACGTCCTTGGAGCTGGCGTGTTGGAAGTTCCACTAGATGGACACAAATATCCATCTAAGCGCAGGCCATTTCCTCCCAAGAAAAAAACCTGATCATGTGTCCTTGTGTCCTTGTAACTGTAAAAACAAACAGGCGATAGTTCTGATGGCTTTCGGGGCTGAGATGTCCGAGAGAGAAAGGGGGTTTGGACCCTTCCTCATGGAGCAAAGATTCAGCCGGGGGAGGGAGCGAGCGGCGTGTCCAGCTCGTGTCCTGCAGCAGCCGGACGTCGGAGAGAGGAGCTGGCGCTCCTCCGACGGCTCATTCGTGACCCAGTGCAGCAGATTCCGCCTGCCTGAGGGTAGCGCTGGCAACGGAGATAAAGATGACCTTGGCTTCTCCCCCTGCCGTCACCAACATCTTTCTGAGAGACAAACAGCGCATTTCCACACTTTCTACCTGGGTTTTCAACAGAGAAGAGAAACAGTGGGAGGGAGGGTGAGCAGGGGAAAGAGCACAGATGGGCTTTGGAGCCAGGTGACGTGGGCTGCGTGGCCGGCCCTCCGCTGGGCCCCCGTGTGACTTGGGGAGGCCACTCGCCCTCTCTGCGCCTCGGTTTCTCCATCTATGTCCCTAGGTTAGCGGCACCTGCTTTACTGGTTTGTTGAAAGGATTAGAGACGATTTCACACGTGTGCGTGGCCAGTGTTGGGTAAATGGCAGCTGGCACCATCAGCTACCTGGTTAAAATCCATTCCCAGACCCATATGCTAGTTCCCATTTAAAAAAATTTAACACATTTCCTATTTAAAATAAGGCGACCTTTCCCCCATTTCCTATTACAAATTAATTAGCAGCATGTTAGGAGGTGCACTGACAAGATAGTTCTATGCCTTTAACTTCTCTTACTTCAGAGCTTTTATTTAAATTAATCGTTTTTTAAATAGCCAGAGCAACTTGTGCCTGCGGTAAATATATAGTTTAAAAGGCATAAATTAAAAGCGACTCTTCCACCTTATATCCCCCAGTCCTCCAGTGACTTCCCGGGGGCGCCAGTGTCACCATTTCCGGAGTCTTTCTGGGGTCGACCACGTGTGCTTGGGTATGCACAGGTCTGCGCGGGTGCGCTGCGTGCACTGTTGTGTACACTCATTTTATCTCACCACGCAGTTCATCTTGGATGTGGTTTCTTGTCAGCACGTATAGGTAGAGGGTGCTTTGAAAAATGGCTACATGGTATTCCAGAATTCACACATACTGGTGTTTATTTAACAGTGATGGGATTGGGGGTGTGCCCCTCCGTCTCACTATCCCAGACTTCCGGGGAAACTATCCTGGGTGTTTTCGGTGGGGTGGTTCATCCAGCTGCCTGTCGGATGGACCATCTGACCCCCGAGCAACACGGACCCCAAACCTGGCACAGCGGGAGAGGTCCAGGCTCACCTGCAGCTCAACCAGCGAACTCCCGGAGGTGTGTTAACTCCATCTCTCCCTCTGAACTCGTGAATTCCTAATTTATAAATTGGAGATTATGTCTGTTTTTTCTCTTTATCTTAAAAAACTTTGAATTTTCACAGATAGTAGTTTTCTTCTCTATTTACATTCTTATAAAAATGTGGAAATCTAGAAAAGCGAAAAGAATAAAATACAAATTACCAGTTATCCCATCCCTTAGAGACAATCACTGTTAACTTTGAGGCACATTTGCTTTTAACGCTTTCCCTGTAGTCTACTGTTGGGTTTTTTGTTTAGAACATTAATTATATTTGACCATTTCCCCCCGTAACTACAAATTCTGCATAAATAATTTTTAATGACTGCATAATTTATTATGATATGGTTATGCCATAATTTATTGGACCATTC